GGATCACGGCATCAGACGATCCGGGCTAGGGGTTCCAGGGGTTATCTCTATCGATTCGAGGCTGCGCGACATATGCTCCGGAAGGTTCTACTACAACCCATGACCAGTGCTCCATGCGGTACATAGCCCTATGACTCATTAGTTGTAGATATGACTCAGACTGGATTTGGGTATAAATACTGTAGCTACTTGGTTGTATTCTCCAGTCTTCGAATTCACTTCTCTTTTCGACTATTGTTTTTGGTTGATTGTCACACGACTCCTTGGAAGCCGGTGACCGTATCTTTTACACCCGCTTCAACCCTTCTGAAAACATCCGAGCCACCAGCACCGTTTCTCAGCAACTCGCTGAAATGCTGAGGGCGTGCTCACAAGTGAATCTACTATGAAAGTAAACCCAAATATAAACACGTTCACACTCCTCGTAATCAGCTTCTCAGTGTGTGAAAGATGCGAGGGCTTCGGGGTGGACAGAGCACCAGTATCACAACTCTCAATAGACGCAGATCCAATAGTCGCGGAGACGGAGTCGACGACAAGAATATATATATAGCAAACAACGGTATCTCAACCAATATCTTCTATACGAGCACAACCAACACTAATACAATCCACAACCAACGATATAACAAGTCAGAGCTTAATACGAAGTATTAAGATCCCTTGTAGCGACAGCGTCTAGATGGTGACGCAAAGCCCAAATATCAAGTCGACGCACTGCCAACCGATACAACCAATATACTGAGTCGACGCACTGCCAACTAGTAGAACCAAAATGTCAAGTCGACGCACCGCCAACTGACACAACCAAAAGTACTGAGTCGACGCACTGCCAACTAGTAAACCAAAATGCCGCGTTGACGCACTGCCAACTAACAGCCAATATCCAATGTCCAAAACCCGAGCACAACTTGTCGACGCACTGCCAAGCAAGAAGTGTGGAACCAAAGTTCTCAAGTCGACACACTGCCAACTGACCAAAACAACCCAAGCACAACTAGTCGACGCACTGCCAAGCTAGAGGTGTGGAACGATCTCAACAAAGCCCGAAGGCGACGACACTAAATGCCGCGACTAAACCAGATGCGGCGAATCCGACTTTCTGATGTCTCAACTCGAACTCAAATCACAGTAGCTACAAGTGCTCAGGGAGCAACTCGTCGCGACCGGGCAGGGGTAGCAGAACTTCTTAGGGTGGAATCACGCGGCACGCAAATTGTACAAAACAATCTGAAATGAGAGTGATTCACAGTCCGGGGGAAAGCTTTCTAATACAAAGAGACGTCGTGCTACTTATACTGTCTACGACACTGCTTAGTAAAGTCCTGTACAACTGCATAGTAGCTACGCTATCTAAGATCGGTTGCCTTTTAGGGTAATTGAAAAGTTGAACGATCGGACAGGTCCTGAGCGATCAGGACCCCGCCCCATAGTCCATATGATACTTTTGATGTGGGTCAACCCACCGCGTCATACTTTTGGAATACGACGTGCTGGATTGGCCAACGGGTATGTCTTGGCATGTGAGACCAACGTGGGCGCCCCAAGAAGCCGTATGGCCCTAGGCACGCCAGTCGTCCCCCACATGGCTCGGTTCACGGATCTAGCCGTGTCGACTTCTAGTGTGTTTGGGTATGGACGCGGCTCGTCGTGACACTTGGGAGTGTCACCGCGATGCGTCCACAACGTCCCGTGATCGAATGGATCCTGACATGTGACAAGTCGTCGTCGTGGCATGATCTGAGGAAACGTCCAACTCAAAACCGGGAGTTGCCGCGACAAGATGGTTTAAGTCCCGTAACGCCAAGTCCTGTCCAGTAGTAGTTCTATTATTGAGAACGTCGCGCATTGCTCAGCCCTTCAGCCCAAGTTCCCATCTGCAGAGAATGACCCTTTTCGAGAAGTCGACGCAACGACAGATCCCTTTTTGGGGGAATGGTCGCGGTCCAAGCGTTTGTCACTAATGGCCCTGAGCCTGGTATAGACTCGTAAGACCAATTCCACAGTAGTGGTCTGACTGCCTTGCTATCGTCGACACTATCCACAGTCGTTGACTGGGCAGTAGACCCATAAGTCCTACTGAGCGCAACACTGTCAACCGCGACACGATACACCGAGTGGTTCAAGAGTAAACTCTGTAAAAAGCGCAAAAATACGCCCTTACAGAGCTGGTGCAGAGCGCGTCTGGTAGCCAGCCTATCATCGCCGAGGCGTTTGCTAAGAACTCTGCACCTCCTCGGGACTCCATCCCCGAGTGGGCCCGCAAGTTCGAAGATGTTTTCAGCAAGGAGTCTTTCGACAACCTGCCAGAGCGACGCCCCTGGGATCACGCCATCGAACTGGTTCCCGACGCGAAGCCGACCAACTGTAAGGTCTACCCCATCTCCCCTCTCGAACAGAAGCAGCTCGACAGCTTCATCGAGGAGGGCATGGCTACTGGCAGGATTCGGCCGTCCAAATCGCCCATGGCATCTCCTGTCTTCTTCGTGAAGAAGAAAGACGGCAGCTTACGGTTTGTCCAAGATTACCAAGCACTAAACACGATGACAGTGAAGAACCGCTACCCGCTCCCCCTGATCAATGATCTCATCAACAAGCTCAAGGGAGCTCGGTTCTTCACCAAACTCGACATTCGCTGGGGCTTCAACAACGTGCGCATTCGTCAAGGCAACGAGTGGAAGGCAGCATTTCGGACAAACCGCAGGCTCTTTGAGCCGTTGGTGATGTATTTTGGCCTGACCAATTCCCCTGCAACGTTCCAGACGATGATGAATGACATACTTCAGGACCTCATCCTCTCTGGCGACGTTATGGTGTACCTCGACGACATTCTCATCGCACATTCCGATATCCACCGTCACCGGGAAATCGTGAACAAAGTCCTCCGACGTCTCCGCGAGAACAAGCTCTACCTTCGCGCGGAGAAATGCGAGTTCGAGATGCCGTCGATCGAATACCTCGGGGTGATCATTTCCCACAACCACGTGGAGATGGACCCGGTCAAGGTCGCAGGTGTGGCGGAGTGGCCAGCTCCGGCTAACAAGAAGGAAGTGCAGCAGTTCCTCGGCTTCACTAACTTCTACCGGAGGTTCATCCGGGATTTTTCGCACGTTGCCCGTCCTCTCTTTGACCTCACCAAGAAGGACGTGGCATGGACTTGGGGCGCCAACGAGGCAGCTGCGTTTCTTGCGCTGAAGAACGCTGTTACCTCTACCCCAGTCCTGCAGCTCCCGGATGCTTCCAGGTCTTACCGCCTCGAAGCAGACAGTTTGGACTTTGCGACCGGTGCCGTCATCTCGCAGCAGTCCCCCGTGGATGACAAGTGGCATCCGGTTGCCTTCTTCTCGAAGAGTCTTAACGAGGTCCAGCGGAACTACGAAATCCACGACAAGGAGATGCTCGCCATCGTCCGCGCCTTGGAGGAGTGGCGAAACTTCCTTGAGGGCGCCGAGCACCCCGTTGAGATCTGGACCGACCACAAAAATCTGGAGTACTTCTGGAAGGCCCAGAATCTCAACCGTCGTCAAGCCCGCTGGTCCCTCTATCTGTCTCGCTTCGACTTCACCCTGCACCACCAACCTGGCCGCCTCATGGGCCGCCCGGATGCTCTCTCGCGCCGCCCCGACCACGGAGTCGCTTCGGACAACGCAGACGTCACGCTGCTGCGCCCGGAGCTGTTCCACGTCCGGGCCTTAGAGGGTCTCACTGTCTCCGGACCCGAAGCCCCCCTCCTGCGCGACATCCGGGAGGCCCTCGCCGGTACCCCCGACATGGAGGAGCCCATTGTGTTGGCAGCACGTGAGCTCCTCAAGGAACGCGGAGTCCGCTCTGCTCGGGCCGCGGAGTGGCGAAAAGAAGGCGGCCTGCTCTACTTCCATGGCAAGCTGGTGGTTCCACGCAACAACGACCTCCGTTGACGCATCCTCGAGCAGCACCACGACACCCGCGTCGCAGGGCATGCCAGCCGCTTCAAGACGTTAGAGCTGATCTCTCGGAACTACTGGTGGCCCCAGTTGTCTCGACACGTCGGCCGGTATGTGGCCACCTGCGACCTGTGCTGCCGAACCAAGGCGCTCCGCCAACTCCCAATAGGGGAACTCCATCCCACGGAGGTCCCTTTGGAGCGCTGGGAAGCGGTGTCGGTTGACTTCATTGTGCATCTGCCAGACGCTCACGGGTATGATGCTATCATGGTCGTCGTTGACATGCTTGGGAAGCGCAGCCACTTCATAGAATGCCACACCCGGCTCTCCGGTGAAGGTGCCGCCAGGCTTTTCTACAAGAACGTCTGGCGCCACCATGGGCTGCCGTCTAAGTATGTCTCTGACCGCGGCTCCCAGTTCATAGCAGAGTTCATGCAGGAGCTGTGGAAACTGGTCGGGGTCTCATCGGCAATGTCTACGGCTTGGCAGACGGACGGCCAGACCGAGCGTGTGAACCAGGAGCTCGAGCAGTTCCTCCGGATCTTCACCAGCTACAACCAGGACGACTGGGACGAGCTGCTTCCCGCGGCAGAGTTTGCTTACAACAATCATGTTCACTCATCCACGCAGCAGGTCCCGTTCATGACCAACACCGGTCGACTCCCTCGCATGGGCTTCGAGCCAAATGGACCACGCTCAACTGTGAACGAGTCGGCAAACGACTTCCGCGACCGCATCGCGTCTGGAGTGGCAGAGGCCAAGTCGGCACTGGTGAAGGCAAAGGATGAGTACAAGCAGTACTACGACCGCCGGAGGGTCTCAGCTCCAGACATCAAGGTCGGAGATCGAGTCTGGCTTGACGCTTCTGACATAGCAACAACGCGCCCGTCCCTCAAACTCTCTCACCGACGGCTGGGTCCCTTCAAAGTCACCCAGGTTGTTGGGCGCGGCGCTTACAAGCTTGACCTCCCTCGCCGCCTCTCTGGTCTTCACCCGGTCTTCCCCGTCGTCAAGCTGCAGCTCGTTGAGGACGACCCGTTCCCAACACGCCCGGCTCGCGAAGAGCCGCCACCTGTCATGGGCCAAGGAGCTGACGAGAAATGGGAAGTCGAAGAAGTTCTGGATGCCAAGATGCGCTATCGGAGCATTTGGTACTTCGTGCGGTGGAAGGGCTACAATTCGTCGCACGACCAATGGGTTAAGCACTCTGATATCTTCGCAGAGGACGCTATAGCGGCATTTTACCGCAAGCACCCCAACAAGCCACGCATCATTGCTGCCGCCATCTTCGACTCCCTCCCGTTCCAGCACCCCTCTGCCACCATCCGCACGTTGCGTCGAGGCACCGCAATCCAAGGGGGGGGTGATGTCAGGGGAACCCCCGTTTCGGACCGCTCTGCCTTCAATCAGGCATGTGATCGCGCTCGCGTGACCTGTCAGCTGTCACGTGCCGCGGCCCGGACTGCCACGCCAAGCGCTTCTCTCTGACGGGCACATGGTCAGGTGTCCCATCGTTCCCACTGTCTCGGTTTCCTATTGTTCTGTCATGGCCATTGTACTTATTGTTCCCATTGTCCTTTGTTTGTCGCTGCGTGGTCTATTGTTCTTGTACCATATAAATAGTGGCGCCTGGCAAGGAGAATCCCCAACACGGTTTCTCTTTGGATTCTCCCTTGCCAGGTATGCCGGTCTTGTACCTAGCTACCACTATTAATCACCTTTGGATTCTCCCTTGCCAGGACTCTGACACCGGGCCTCGAGGTTGCCCTTACAGTCGGTCATAGTACCTCTTGTACTCGTCCTTTGCTTTGACCAGTGCTGATTTAGCCTCGGTTACACCCGACGCGACTCGGTCCAGAAACTTGTTGGCAGACTCTGCTCGGGTGGAGCGCTGCTCTGTTGGCTCGAATCCCATGCGTGGTAAACGTCCTGTGTCCGTCATGAAGGGAACCTGCTGGGTCGAGGAGTGGACGTGGTTGTTGTAAGCAAACTCAGCTGCAGGCAAGAGCTCATCCCAGTCGTCCTGCTTGTAGCTGGTGAAGATCCAGAGGTACTGTTCCAACTCCTGGTTGACCCGTTCGGTCTGGCCATCAGTCTGCGGGTGGTAAGCGGTGGACGTGGCAGGGGAGACGCCAACCAGCTTCCATAGCTCTTGGGTGAAGTCTGCCACAAACTGAGGGCCACGGTCCGAGACGTATTTGATGGGTAATCCGTGGTGTCGCCAAACATGCTTGTAGAACAATCGAGCCATCCCTTCGGCCGAGAGGCGAGTGTGGCACTCAATGAAGTGAGCACGCTTCCCTAGCATATCAATGACCACCATGATGGCATCGTAGCCATGCGCCTCAGGCAGCTCCACGATAAAGTCCACTGACACCGATTCCCAACGTTCCGAGGGGATCTCCGTGGGGTGAAGCTCTCCAGTGGGGAGTCGTCGGAGGGCCTTGGTCCGACAGCACAGGTCGCAGGTGGCCACGTACCGGCCAACATGTCGTGAGAGCTGGGGCCACCAGTAGTTCCGGGAGACCAGCTCCAGCGTCTTGAAGCGGCCAGCATGCCCCGCAACGCGGGTGTCGTGGTGTTGCTCAAGGATGCGTCGCCGTAGGTCTCTGTCACGCGGAACCACTAGCTTCCCATGGAAGTAGAGGAGGCCGTCCTGGATGCGCCATTCCGCTGCTACAGCGGAGCGGGCCCCCTTCATCCCTTTCAGAAGCCATCGCGCTATAAGCGCAAGTTCTTCCTCGAGGTCAGGGTCACCGGAGAGCGATTCCCGAATGTCACGGACGAGCGGGGCTTCCGGGCCAGAGATGGACAGTCCTTCGAGTGCTCGCACATGGAACAGTTCCGGTTTCAACAGGGTGACGTCCGTGTTGTCTGAAGGGGCTCCGTGGTCCGGGCGTCGGGAGAGCGCGTCTGGTCGTCCCATGAGCCGGCCGGGTTGGTGGTGGAGCGTGAAGTCGAAGCGGGATAGGTAGAGCGACCAACGGGCTTGCCGGCGGTTGAGGTTCTGGGCCTTGCGGAAGTACTCCAGGTTCTTGTGATTGGTCCAGATCTCCACGGGGTGTTCGGCGCCCTCCAAGAAGTGCCGCCACTCCTCCAGCGCTCGCACAATTGCGAGCATCTCTTTATCGTGGATCTCGTAGTTGCGCTGGACGTCATTAAGGCTTTTGGAGAAGAAGGCGATTGGGTGCCACTTGTCGTCCGAGGGGGACTGCTGCGAGATGACGGCTCCTGTGGCAAAATCGGAGCTGTCAGCTTCTAGGCGGTAAGGACGAGAGGAGTCTGGGAGGAGAAGGACCGGCGTGGAGGTAACTGCATCCTTCAAGGCCTGGAACAAAGTGGACTCGTTGTCGCCCCAAGACCACGGTACGTCCTTCTTGGTGAGGTCGAAGAGCGGGCGTGCAACGTGCAAGAAGTCCCGGATAAACCTCCGATAGAAGTTAGTGAACCCAAGGAACTGCTGCACTTCCTTCTTGTTAGAGGGGGCCGGCCATTCAGCTACGCCCGCCACTTTGACGGGGTCCATCTCGACGTGGTTGTGGGAGATGATCACGCCGAGGTACTCGATGGACTCCATCTCAAATTTGCACTTCTCGGCTCGGAGATACAACTTGTTTTCGCAGAGGCGCCGGAGGACTTCATTCACAATACGACGATGGAGGTGAGGGTCGGAGTGCGCAATGAGGATGTTGTCCAGGTATACCATGACGTCGCCCGAGAGGATGAGGTCCTGGAGGATGTCATTCATCATGGTCTGGAACGTCGCAGGGGAGTTGGTAAGGCCGAAATACATCACCAGTGGTTCAAAGAGCCCACGGTTGGTCCGAAACGCAGCCTTCCACTCGTCTCCTTCTCGTATCCGTACATTGTTGAAGCCCCACCGAACATCGAGTTTGGTGAAGAAGCGGGCTCCCTTGAGCTTGTTGATCAGGTCGTTGATCAAGGGAAGGGGGTACCAATTCTTCACTGTCATTGCATTCAGTGCCCGGTAATCCTGGACAAACCGTAGGCTGCCATCCTTCTTCTTGACAAAGAAGACGGGGGAGGCCATGGGGGACTTCGAGGGTCGAATTTGGCTGGTGGCCATGCCTTCTTCGATGAAAGCGTCGAGCTGCTTCTGCTCCAGGGGGGAGATAGGGTAGACCTTGCAGTTTGTTGGCTTTGCATCGGGCACCAGTTTGATGGCGTGGTCCCAAGGGCGACATTCCGGAAGATTGTCGAAGGATTCCTTGCTGAAAACATCCTCGAACTTGCGCGCCCACTCGGGTATAGAATCTCGAGAGGGGGCAGAGTTCTTGGCAAACGCCTCTGCGAGATGCTGGGAGACGGTGCTAGTTGCTTGGATGTCTTCAGAAGGGTTGAAACGGGTGTAGAAGATACGGTCACCGGTTTCCAGACAGTCTTCTTCTTCATCGGAATCTTCTCCGTTGTCTTCCTGGAGTAGCGGCATAGCCTCGTCTTTGCGGTCTTCCATGTCGACGACGCAGATGGAGGGGGCGGGGCCTTGTCGGGCTGACCGGAGTGCTCGGGCCGAAATTCGGGCTATCCGTCTCTCTTGGCGGGACTCCTTGGTGCAGGTGGAGCAGCCGGACGGGCAGTGGCTCATCTTTACTTCCTGCGTGTCCCAGTTAATTTCCGGGTTGTGCTTCCGAAGCCAGGAGTAGCCGAGGATCAGCTTCTGCTTGCCAAGCCGAGTGACAGCAAGCTGGACCCGCTCACTGTGTCCTTGGTAACGCAGGACCACATCGGCAACTTGTCGAATGGAGCCAGCTTCGTTTGGCGTGCCATCCACATTGTAGACTGGGATAGGCTGGGAGAGCTGCCGGACCGGAAGTCGGTTTTCAGAGGCGTAGGTGGAGTCAATGAAGTCCGACGTGGCGCCGCAGTCGACCAGTCCGTCGAGAGAGAGCTGGACTGCGTTGTCGGTGGACTGGATCTCCAGGGGGAGGTGCAGGGAGTTGGCGCCAGGGGAGGCCGCAACCACATAGCGCTGAGGGAGTTTTCGTTCCCACTTTTCCTTGCGGACCAGCGGGACTGAGCGGGGGGCAGGAGGTACGTCTATCGTTTCGTTTGTGGGGGAAATGAGGTCGCATTCATCATACAGACATTCGAAACGATTACGTGAGGCGATCGAGGGCGTACTATTCACTCGTCGCGAGGGAGAAAACCCTGCTCCAACTCGTCGGCAATCTCCGCTTCATGCTCTTCTACGGCCGCCGTAGTTGCTAGCCGGGCTACTAATTCCGCCAACAGGTCGCTTCCCAGCTGATTGATCACTTCGTCCAGGACGTCGGTGTGCCGGACATCAGCGGGGGTCGGGCAGTCTCGGGCCAGATGTCCTGGGCTGCCGCATCGGAAGCATGTGCGACGAACACTGCTGCGGGCTCGGGTTCGGTCGATCTCCATGGGAATGCCTGGTGGGAGGACTACCGGGGCTGGTCGGGGAGCAGGGGGTGGGGCGACCACCGGAGGAGCCATGGGGCGAGGGCGGGGAGCCGCAGGAGGCGGAGCGCGGGGTGAAGAGAACACCTGTCCTCATGCTGCTCGGGCGGCCACCTCGGCGTTGTACTGGCGGAATGCGCGGGTACGCCACTCCGAGTAGTTTGTGAGGCTAGGCGGGTTACCGGAGGTCGTGATCGCCTGATTGATTCTGGGGTCCAGACCCGCCCGGTACTTGGTGACCTTGACCAAGTTGTCGGAGTACCCCGCCAAGTCGAGAAGGTCGTCGAACTCGTCCGTGTATTTGAACACGTCGCGGGATCCCATGTAGTAAGCATGGGTCTCCAGTCGTGCCAGGGCGTGGTCTTGCTCGTTCTCCTCGACAAACCGGAGCTTGAACTCGGCCACAAAGGAGGAGCAGGTCGGGAATGGGAAGACGAGGCGCTCTGACATGCGTTCTGACCAGGAGGCCGCCGAGTCCTTGGACATGTAGGAGAGGGCGAAACGTACCACCCGCTCTTCTGATACTACCCCGTTCACATGGAAGGCCTCAGGGAGGAGGCGCCAGTATTGCTTGACGGAATGGAGAAACGTCTTGCCCTGGGTACAATCCCCGTCGAACGCGAATGGGGGGTTGGGGCGGATGAGGGGTCTCGTGCTGGCCTGTTGGCCAATAGATACACCTGGACCCACTGCCGGAGACGGAGCAGGGGCAGGGGCAGGGGCAGGGGCAGGCTGTTGCTGTGTAATTATGAGGTTGTGGAGGAGGCCTTCCATCCGTTGCATGGCTTCCTCTAGATTCGCAAGCCTCTGTTGGGGGTGGGAGGGGTCGTCCTCTTCTTCCATTTGGGACATGATGATCGTAGAGGGGAAGGAGGGGACAAGGTTGGAAGTGAGAAGCGGATGACGCTGTCGGCGGTCTTCACAAGCTTGTCCAGTTATCCCTAAGAACTCGGTTTCTGCTGTAAGGGCAACCTCGAGGCCCGATCTCAGAGTCCTGACAAGGGAGAGTCCAAAGCGTCAGATAAGGGGATCAACTAATACAGGAGACTGGCAAACCTGACAAGGGAGAGTCCAAAGAGAAACCGAGTTGGGGACTCTCCTTGTCAGGGCCCACTATATATAGCCTACAGAACAATGGATGACCAAGCACAATGGAAGCGCCAGACAATGGGGCCAGGGAACAATGAGGGGCCGGATCGGGGGAACAATGGGAGCCGGACCGTCGGAACAATGGGGGTCCGGGCCGGAGTGTCATGTGGGTGCGCTTGGCAGGGGAGTCCGGACCGAAGCATGTGACGCTTGACAGATGGCACGTGCTTGGTCACATGCGAGATCCCATGATGATCGGACGAAAGCAGGGGTTCCCCTGACAGCACCATGATGTTGCGTTCCCAAAGTGATTGCGCAGTGAGCAGACAGACCGTCTCCTTAATTGAACTCCTAATTCTACCTGAGTTAAATGACTGTCCCCACATAATGCATTGCGTTACAGATAGCTCTGTCTCATCCTCCCTTGCAGCACTCTCATCTTCTCTCACACATTGTGAGACAGATTCTCATGTCTCATCCTCTTTCACAGCACTTGATTTGGGATGAATTCAGAGACTTCAATGTGAGCCAGCACCTCTATCATCAGCACCATATATATAGTTTCTCCAGTTGGTTGCTCTGTTTTGCATCCACTTCTTGTGCCATCCCATGCCCCCAGAACCACGCCCTGGCCTCGAGGATGTCCTCCTTGCTGTCAGTGACATGCTTCTGCCAAATGACCATCTTTCTCTCTTGATAGCATTGTGTTGCCTTTGTTGCATGCTGGCGCCTATCATCTTTTGTGCCATCAGATATTGTCTGCAATCAACTATTGATCCTAGAGCATTGTTGCTGGAAACTCTGTAGCCACTCATCCAGTGTGTTCATAATCCTCATGTACTATATATTTCTCCATATTGATGTCTGCTATGCGCTCTAGAGAGCTGATCATTGTGTTTGCAAGCATGACAGGGTTGCAAGAGCATGCTTTGATTGAATCCATGCTTGCTACTACACTGCCATGTTTGGGGGCTATGATGGCTCTCTGCATCAGAGGCAATAACAATACTGTACAATTTTGACTATTAATTCATGTCACAGGTCACAAGGACCTCTGAACTGAACATTTATATATAGGGTCACAGATCACAATTTTCTTTGAACTCTGGGACATATTTTCAGAGCAAAAAATCGATTTTGTTGCTTCAGGTACATAGAAATAGCTCATAGATGTTCTAATTAATGTTTCTCCCACTCAGAATCACAACCAAAGTGTTGCGGTGAAATGCTGTGGGGCGCGCTCACAGGTGAATCTACTATGAAAGTAAACCCAAATATAAACACATTCACACTCCTCATAATCAGCTTCTCAATGTGTGAAAGATACGAGGGCTTTGGGTGGACAGAGCACCAGTATCACAACTCTCAATAGACGCAGATCCAATAGTTGCGGGAGACAAAGTCGACGACAAGAATTTATATATAGCAAACAATGGTGTCTCAACCAATATCTTCTATACAGTCAAAACCAACACTAATCCAATCACAACCAACAATATCACAAGTCAGAGCTTAATACAAAGTATTAAGATCCCTTGTAGCGACAGCGTCCAGATGGTGACGCAAAGCCCAAATATCAAGTTGACGCACTGCCAACTAGTAGAGCCAAAATGTCAAGTCGACGCACTGCCAACTGACACAACCAAAGTACTGAGTCGACGCACTGCCAACTAGTAAAACCAAAATGCCGCGTCGATGCACTGCCAACTAACAGCCAATATCCAAATGTCCAAAACCCAAGCACAACTTGTCGATGCACTGCCAAGCAAGAAGTGTGGAACCAAAGTTCTCAAGTCAATGCACTGCCAACTGACCAAAACTACCTGAGCACAACTAGTCAACACACTGCCAACCTAGAGGTGTGGAAATAATCTCAACAAAGCCCAAAGACAACGACACTAAATGCCGTGACTAAACCAGAAGCGGCAAATCCAACTTTCTGATATCTCAAACTCGAACTCAAATCACAGTAGCTACAAGTGCTCAGGGAGCAACTTGTTGTGACCAGGCAGGGATAACAGAATTTCTTAGGGTGGAATCACACAACACACAAATTGCACAAAACAATCTGATATGGGTATGATTCACAGTCTGGGGGAAAGCTTCCCAATACAAAGAAACGACGCACTACTTATACTGTCTACAACAATGCTTAGTAAAGTCCTGCACAACTGCATAGTAGCTACGCTATCTAAGATCAGTTGCTTTTTATGGCAATGAAAAAGTTGAACGATCGGACAGGTCCTGACTGATCAGGACCCCGCCCCATTGTCCATATGGTACTTTTGATGTGGGCCAACCCACCGCGTCATACTTTTGGAATACGACGTGCTGGATTGGCCAACTGGTATGTCTTGGCAAGTGAGTCCAAAGTGGGTGCCCCAAGAAGTCATATGGCCCTAGGCACGCCCGACGTTCCTCACATGGTTTGGCTCACGGATCTAGCCTGTGTTGCTTTTTGATGTGTTTCGGTTCAGATGTGACTCACCGTGACACTTCGAAGTGTCACCGCGACATGTCCACAATATCCTGTGATTGAGTGGATCCTGACATGTGACAAGTTGTTGCCATGGCATGATCTAAGGAAATGTCTAACCCAAAGCCGAGAGTTGCCGCAACAAGATTGGTTCAATCTCGTAACGCCAAGTCCTGTCTAGCAGTAGTTGTAATGTTGAGAACGTTGCGCATTGCTAAGCCCTTCAGCCCAAGTTCCCATCTGCAGATAACAACCCTTTTGAGAAGTCGCCGCAACAAAATATCCCTTTTGGGGAATTGTCGCGGTCCAAGTGTCTGTCATTAATAGCCCTGAGCCTGGTGTAGACTCATAAGACCAATTCCACAGTAGTGGTCTGACTGCCTTGCTATCATCAACACTATTCCCAGTCGTTGACTGGGCAGTAGACCCTTAAGTCCTACTGAGCACAACACTGTCAACCGCGACACAATACACCAAATGGTTTGAGAGTAAACTCTGTAAAAGCGCAAAAATACGCCCTTATAGAGCTGGTGCAGAGCGCGTCTGGTAGCCAGCCTATCAGCAGGACAGCAGTAGCATGGCGGGGACTGTGATTAGACATAATAACATGTTATCGGTAAATACAAAACTTGACTGCATCGGAATTGAGCCAAAAACCTTCAAATGCTCTACAGAGCAAGAGAATCAATACCACAGTGCACCATAGGACCAACATCAACATTGTCTCAACGGGGGCAGAACGTATCAAATGAACACCTGTAAATTGTGTCACAGGTTGCGGACAGTCATGAACAGTTCAATTTGAACTTTTGGGGTCACAGGTCACAAGCTCTGAACAAGTGGTCGAAATCGTACAGTAGTCTTTGGCCAGAACTGCTGAACATTTTAGTGCAAACACCACATATCATCCATCTTAACTTGGAATCCCGTTGGTGGTTGCAATCTCCATACAAGTTTGAAACACCGCCTACAACACATTTTCACAGTCTTGTATATGGCCTATCACAAATAACTCATGTCAGCAATGAAAGAGAGCCTCCCCAGCAGCTTGAAGTGCATAATCTCTGATGTGTGCTCTGGTCTTACCAACAAACGCTCTGTGCTCTCAAGATGCCCAGCTGTCTTTTGCCCAAACCCAATGCTCCTGGAAGTCCGCAACTGCAATGGTTGTCAGTCCTGGAGCTCAAGGGATCCTGGCCAACTGACTCCTCAGCAATGCTGTATGTCCTGGCTTGCATGCCTGCTCTTGAGGTGTTGCACTTCAATCTAGGATGGCACATGGATTCCGCTCCTTCATGTCTGGCCAATATTGGTGTGTGGCAAGGATTGCTTGAATCCTTTCTCCCTTGATTGCAATCTTTTCTCATCTCACTGCCTACAAGAGGAGAGCAGATCGTTTCTGCTTTACCTCCAGGTCTGAAGGTGCTCTCCATCCTGGTGCTTCCAGAAGAGGATCACCAAGAATTCTTGATCCAGACTCCCAAAACGGCACATGTCTTGGGTATGTTATCCCCGTGTCACTTTCAATTGCTCAAAGTGCTCAAAGTTACTTACACAATCTTTCCTTCACACATTTACCATCTGGACACCTTTCCTGAGGGCCCACCATGTGGAGATAACATTAAAGCCAAGCAGACTCTGTTCAGACTTCTCCCAACAAAATTCCCCCTACTTTGACATCTGGTTATATGGCGGATCTGGGATGGGCATCATTGGGACCAGAAGGATTGGGATCCTATGGTAAGTTTCAACCCTTGCAAAGTAGTCAACTGACGACTCCTTCTCATAGCCTCTTCTACAGTTTGTTCTGCCTCAATTGAAGGAATTGCAAACGTTTGCATTCAATCCGAGCATTCCTTGCTATGTTAATCAAACAGACTATCAATTGATGATGCATGGAGCCTGTGGCCAGCACCCTGACCACAAAAGCATGTTGAGGGCCTTGTGTACTCTCACCAAGGAGGTTGTTCATTTTGTTCCATGGTTGAAGGAGATCTCCATGTTCTGCCTTTACACCAAAGTCCCCAACAATTGGATGACATATTCTGTCAAAAGGTCTCCTGGTGGGCGGGTATAGCTCTGGCTAGACCATGTGCAACCCAATCTCCAGCCATTGCCTTGTCAATTTTGATCCCAATTAGCTACTATTCTCTACCTATCTCAAATGTAGGCTATTTGTCTCTATTGCTTTGAAAATGAGGCTCATGGCCCATGCCTGTGGAGAGAAACAAAAAAATGAAATGCAAGGAAAGGAGAAAAATTGAAGGAAAAGGGAGAGTATAGTATG